TTTAAAGTAACTTCATACCTACTACATTAATTTAGTATAAAAGTAAGTCAATATGTGGTTTTATTATCGATTATTCAGATATCAGAGCCTCTTTTATTGTTTCTCATAGTTATTTCGTAAATCTTCATTCAAGATGAAAAGCTTTAGTTTAAAATTAATGTTAATTATAATTAGGAAAACTTTTATTAAAAGTTTAATTGATGATATCGGATTTAAATAAATACAATGCAGGTCTAAAATAACGTAACACACTTTATTTAGTATAAAAATTAAGCCAATATAATATAATTTTATACTGTACAAGTATTTATTTACGTTTTGCCCCATCGTAGTTGCCATTCATTCAGAATAGTGGATTTTAAATGTTCGATAGTAGGATGGTTTAACTACCTTAATATCAACTACTTCTAGACAAGAATGGTGTGCAGTATTATCTTCTTTTTCACTCCCAGCTATTCCAACATGGCTTGAAACGTGAAATAATATAATTTTATAGCCCTTCCAGATGCTCATGTCTTCCTTGTAGTTCACCCAATAGAATCGTTCTCGCAGCTTCCTCTCAAGTTGGTAGTTGCTATTCATTCAGAATAGTGGATTTTAAATATATTTGGTAGTCGGATGGTTTAACTATCGTAACAATAACTACTTTTAATAATTCTTTTTCTCAATTCTTTGCACTATAATTTGCATCCAACGTATTGTAATATTTTCCTTTGAATTTCGTTTCCTATTGTCCCATGGCTTGAGACGTAATGTTATAGCCCTTCCAGATCCTCATGTATATGTCCCTTTTCCTTGTAGTCCACCCAATTGAACCTTTCTCTTAGCTTCCTCTCAAGTTGGTAGTTGCCATTCATTAAGAATAGTGGATTTTAAACATGTTTCGTACTCGGATGATCGGTTAACTACTGTAACATCATAAATAAATTGTATACCAACACATAATGGCCAAACTTCAACAGACTTTAATATTCATAAACCTCATCAGAAGAAAATATTTTTTGATCCAAAGTTTTTTTTTGTTATTAGAATAAATTACCTGCAATTTGTTAATTCATTACAACATTGAATAAAAGATGCAAAGTGTTTATACATACTATAATAGATAAATCTTATTTTAAATTATGTGATAGATCTGCTTGCTTGTAGGATCTAGACTCATAAACTCAATAATTTCTTTTATTGATATAACCAATAAAGTGGTAATGATGAAATTTTGTTTTTGATTTGAGCAGTAGGGTCCATTATTTCCATTATTTGATGCTGTTATTGCTCTACAAAATGTTGATCTTTATCAAGGGATGTTTATGTGTATAATATTATTATTTATGTGTATAATAATACTGTATGATCGAAAAAACACGGCGTCCAGTGGGCTTGGAAATGAACATCTCGATGACATTCTCCATATCATTTTACATATAAAATGACAGCAATCTTCATTTCATAGGCATCGCTGACGCCGTTTTTTATTCGATCGATCAAATTGTACTTACGTGTGTAATATTCATTTAATGGTTCCTGTTTTAGTTGCTGGTGTTCATATTTTGGTTTTTTATTGTGTTGTTGCTCTACAAAATGTTAATATTTATGTGTATAACATTACTCTTTTGTGTATAATAATACCGTATGATCGAATAAAAACGGCGTCAGCGATGGCTATGAAATGAAGATCGCTGTCATTTTATATGTAAAATTTATATAGGAAATGCCATCGATCGTCATTTCCAAGCCAACTGGACGCCGTTTTTATTCGATCATACGGTACTTATGTATAATATTCATTTAATGGTGCCCTTCTTGCTTGTTGCTGTTGTTGCAATTCAGGAATTTAAATTAACCTGAGGCAGTAGGGTAGAGCTTCATCCTCCAATATTTTCCTATGTAAATACTGAAGTGGACAGACAGTATTTCTGATGACAATTTTATCACAAACTTTAACATCTTGTTCTTTAAAATGAAACTGCCATACCTTATCATCTGTAGATTTCAAAGCAATATCTAAATGCTTTTGACCATCACTGTAATCTAATTCTTGTCTTACCGAAAATCAATACCTAATATTATCCTGATGATTTTGATTTTTGATAGATTATTAAAATACAGCACTTACAGTTAATTATATTTCTTGAAAGTACCTACAATTTTATGTATTTCCTACTTTTACTTGTTTAAAAATGCCAAACAATTTGTGTACTTTGCCCTGTCAAACTTTAAAATCACTAAAAATAAATTTTATTTAGGGTTGTAACTTTAATGCCAACAATTTGTTGCATGTCTGTCAAACTTTAAAATCATTAAAAATAAATTTTATTTAGGTTGTAACTTTATAAAAAGGATTGTAAAAATATACTTTGTGACATGTATGTCAATAATCTTACGAAAAATGTTTACTACACTTTTGATTGACTCTAATTTTTACATATAATACAAATAATACAATACTGAATTATATTATGTATTTTACATACCGTAGGCTTTGCCTTTGCTCTTTATTTTTCCATCAGCTATTCAATCAACTTCGCACCACATACACTTTAACCATTGTTAAATAATAAATAAAGCACAAAATATTGATAAACAATAATTATTTTATATTCAAAAACTCTGCCTGAAAAATAAAAACAATTTTTTTTGGGTAATGTTTGGTTTACGAGTATTTTTATTCTCTTATCTATGGTTACTTTTCATTTTTTAGAATCATGCGTTTTTAGCGCCACTGTGGTTATTTGGCGAACCCTTATTCTTCCCATTTTGTGACCACTTTTTCAATAAAAGTCCCGTAAGAGTTATTTCTCCTTACCTCTACACTCCATAGTAGATAGATTGGACCAAGGCCAACTTGAACGTGTGCGACAAGTGTCACTGTGACAGTTAGTTTTGACGTAAGAAACGTCAAAAGTTGATGTAGTCCGCTCGCGACCAAATTTGATGGGTAGGCTATTATGACAGTTAGTTTTGACGTAAGAAACGTCAAAAGTTGATGTAGTCCGCTCGCGACCAAATTTGATGGGTAGGCTATGTGAACGACGCACTATGGTTTCTAGAAGCTAATTTTTTTTCCAAAATACATATTTTAGTCTCACTGTATATGGACTTTTTTGTAAATATAATGCAAGCAGATATACAAATGAAGAAGACCACATGCATATATTTTTGTTTAGTTTTCATTTTTATTCCTTATCAGCATTTATATTTAGACGTTCTAGTGAAGTATTTGTGCCTATTCAGTTGTTGTTTATTTTTGGAAGAAATTTGGTGAATATTAAGTGATATATTTCGGTGGGATATAAAAACGGATTAGTGTTATTTTTACCCTTTATGGTATGTATTTTTAAGAAATCACTAACAATTGCACATAAGAATCAGCGTCCATTATTTTTTAATTAATTAAAAATAATGAGTTTAAGACAGAACATACATAAAAAGTTAAAAGTTTAGTTTGACTTATAAAAAATTCTCCATGTTTCTCCATGCTATATGTTATTGTAAAATTTGAAACAATCCTTTCTGAACATATCAAAGAAAAAATTGGTTGCTACTAGCTGCAACTTTTTTTTTAAAGAATTTTTTTTTCAGCTATGTATCGATAGAAAAAAATAGATCTTTTGGAAAAATGGCTACAAGGGGCCGATAAAGTTGAGAAAAACGGGTATGTTTCAAATTTTGTAAGACAGAAATTTCAGAATAATGAACAAGAACTATCGGGCACAATGGAAAAAAATATAAACCGCCTTTGTATAAATTTTGGAAGAAGATGGCAGGCGGCTTCCTGGCTTATAGATTTATTTTTAAAACGAAATGATGACTGGTTAAAGGTGGATTTTATCCTTGAGTTAAAGGAACCCCTTCCATCCACATCATCTGCCGGCCGCCCACGGTTACCATTTTCGGAGCAATCTTCCAGAACCCAGAGAAAAACGGCCTCAAAAGTTTCCAAGGAACATAAGCATTGGGCTTTCCTTGTGCAGGCTGCAAAATACTTTACTTGTGCAGGCTGCTTTGTAAATTTAGTTATCCTGCCGATGTACTTAACCTAGTTCGTGTAACTGACTTTATCGAAAAGAAGTTAAATGAAGAACAATGAAGAAAAGAAGAAGAAGAAATGCAAAAAGAAGAAGAGCAAGGAGATATTTCTAAAGAAGATTGTTTTTTTGGACAGCAGTAATTCGATAATTGATCAAGTTTCTTTTTTGGAACTAGATACAGAAGATGCTTCATAGGTAAAAGTTAATCAGACGTGGAATAAGATGATTAAAAATAACTTCATTTTATTAGTATTTTATTATTTTATTAAAAACACAAATTTACAGTCAATATTTTCCATTAAATGTAAGTTGTTTAATTTTGGCCAAAAAAGTAGCTGCTAGAAACAATAGTGCGACGGTGCACACGGTCCCACCCTGCAAAGTTGGATACGACGTTTCGTTTACATCTTCATCAAGGTGGGACTAACGATTTGATATTGAAGAAAAATGTGGGTCGATTTCAGCATAATTGGGGACGGGCTACAGGATGACGCCCTCAACGTTTCGAACTGATGCCTCTAAATAAACAAAATCATCAGGATTTTTCTTAATTATTGGTCAATTGGAACCAAACTCGGCCCGTGGATAAAGGTACCCGAATGGAGTCCTCAGACGGACAGGCAGACAGACAGAAGTAAGAAGGTTTTACTTCAAAGATTAGCACATAGTGCACACATTAGCACATTGCACATTAGCACATAGCGCAAATTCAATAAGGAGCAATTTTCTTTAATTTAACTGATTCTGTATCTCTTACACCATTTCTGAGATATCCACGCTGTCTATTCTACTTATTTTGGACATGCTGTATAGTTAAAATACATTGAAAGCTGACCTGTGCACTTTCATTAAAAAAAGTCACGTCGATATCGTTATCCGGATTTTATTCCAAATTGAATATTGTTCAATTAAACTATTTTGAAATAATGCCCGTTCCAATATTCATCAGCGTAAATGTTCCGATGCGTCAATATGGATTGGGATGTATGTCGGATATTGACAGTTGCTTCAATTAACTTTAGTAAAATCCGGTGGTGAATTTATCAGAATATAATACTCCATTTTTTAAATAAAAATAAATAAAACGGTTTTTAATAAAAGTGAATTTACTATTTTATGTAGGTAGGTATAGTTTCATATTATATTCTTTAATTTATCCATCTAAAAATAAAATATTTATATACCTAAAATAATACTTTAGTATCCAACAAGTGGCCATGAAAATCAAAATAAATATAAATCCATGTCCAAAAATAAAAAATGTGACGCGCTTTGAGGTGGTTCGAATCAGGATAAGGAATGTTCTTTACCGAGTATTAAATTCGAAGAATTCCTAGTCCCTACTTCTTTGCCAAGTTCAATAGTCTCCGCCCCCTTTTTACGTTTTAATTTTCTGCCGCAGTTGCTTATCGACTTATACAGGCTCATTGACTAACTATTAATATATAAACAAGGGGCAAACGGATTCAAATATAAATAAGGAAGGAAAGTTAATATTTTTAATTTTCTAAAAAACTCCTGGCAATGAGTTCTGCTGTTTTTAGTCCCAGTGAATATCGAACTATGTCTGGGCTTAATGCGGTCAAATTAGTGGCTTCTTACGTACCGCGGAATGGATGGGCATATCTGAGGTGCGACTCAAAAAAGTGCATAATAAACAGTTCTAGCCACTGACAAGTTAAGCTCCTTAGATTTAGCGATCTTAATGCAAAACAGGCAGAGCTTATTTTTTTGACAAAGCGTCGATATGCATGTCCCATTTCAGAGAATTGTCTACAACAAGCCCCAAGAATTTTACAGACTTTACGACGTCAAAGGTGGTGTTGTTAGGTACAAAAGGCTGCAGCGAGTATTTATACGACAAAGCTTTCATTTTAGAAATGTTGAGACACAGGAGGTTCGGATCGCACCAAGATTTAATGGTGATTAAGTCATTTGATATAATCCTATGAGAACCGTGACGTCCTCGTTGCTCCAAGTGAAACTGATGATCATAGCATGTGCCACTGATGTTTTAGCAATGTCGTTAATAAAAAGAAGAAACAAAATAGGGCCTAGTACTGAGCCTTGAGGTACTCCACATTCTATTGGTTTGCTAGAAGACAACGTGGTATCCACCCTCACAAGTTCACTTCTGTTGTTCAGATACGACTTAAACCATTTTAGAGATGTTCCCCTGAACCCATAGTGCTGCATTTTATTAATTAGGATCTTATGATTTACACAGTCGAACTCCTTAGAAAAATCACAAAAATTTGTTGCTGTAGAATGATGGTTATTAGGGCCGGAGTAAACTTTATTAAGGAGGGAAACAGAGTCATTTGTGGACTTGTTGCCTAGAAATCCAAATTGTTGTTCAGTAAGCATTTTGTACTTAAACAGAAAAGATACCAGCCTTCTTTTAACCAACCTTTCTATGATCTTAGATGCTATGCTCTATGGGCATGCCGCCGAATTTGTGGTAGAAACTGGGGATTAAACCCCAAAAATATGTACTGGCTATAGGTGACAGCCATCAGACCTATTATCAAGTATGACGCAGTTGCCTGGTGGCAGAAAGCCAACCAAACAACGGCGAAGAATAAACTGTCAAAATTACAACGACAAGCATGCTTAGCGGTGACTGGTGCCTTTCATTCTATGCCTTCAAAAGATATGGAAACTCTACTCGACTTACCTCCTCTTCAAATTATTTTGGAAAGGGAGGCGAGATGGGCTACATATAGGTTTCCAAATATGGCACGAGAGAGCCAAGGAACAATCATGTTCATACAAAACCGACTAGAAGACGAACTACAGTCGGATGAGATCCTGGGAATGGTCTCGGATCTCACACCAGCAATCCAACTCTTGACGCGCATCTACAACGTCCTGTTTTCGAATAGGGACGAATGGGATAAGCCGAGAAACGGCTTATTACTTGCGAAAATGTGTTGGTACACGGACGGATCCAAAAACGCGAAGGATCTGGCGCAGGAATTTGCAACGGTCTGAAGGCAGGATCTACCCACGTGCTTGGAAAACACCACTATTTTCAAACTGACTATATGCGATTGAAACCTGTGTGCAACTGCAGGTAGAACAGCAATACACCGGAAAAACAATATGCATATTTTAGGATAGTCAAGCCGCGTTGAAAGCACTTGAGGCAATGAAAAGTACGTCCAGGACGATTCTTCATTGTAGAAACTATCAATATATTAGGAGATGGAAATAAAGTGTCGCTAATATGGGACATGTCGGCCTAGAGGGAAATGAACGTGCTGATTCCCTCGCCAAAACTGGTGCAGGCTCGCCATTCGTGGGCCCAGAACCGACACTTAGTGTAACAAAAAATCTCGCAAGAGACAGGCTATGTGAATGGGTTAGGGGTGTAACGCTTCGGAACTGGTATGACAGTCCCGGAATGGAACATGCCAAAACAATCCTAGCAGATCCATCCAAACAGATGAACTCTCCTGGGCAGGGCATTTCGTATATATACACAGGCCACTGCCGGCTGAGATCACACCTACAGAGGATGGGACTGGTGGAAGGCGCCGAATGCCAACTCTGTATGGAAGATGACGAAACAATGAAGCACGTTATGTGTACCTGCCCCGCGGGCAGGACCAGGTTTGAGTTGTTTGGCAAACCCACGCTAGACTATCAGACCTAGAAGACATATCACCCTCGGACATAACGGCCTATGTTAAAAGACTTGGTCTTGAGGGCGAACTTTAATGCTCTTTTTCTATTAAAGAGCTTGTAGAAACTGAGCCACAATAGGCCCTCGCGGCTTCAGTGGAGGGTCCCACCTGGGACTCACTCTTAGTAAAATACAAATGATCTTAGATAGCGTTGGAAGGAGTGCAATTGGGTGATAGTTAGAAGCTTGTATTACATAGCTTATGTTTTGCTATGCTTTCCTGAACCATGCTGAAGAGTGCACACCGTCTGGCTGCCGGTAGACGTTGCGTTCATTACTGCGCATCATATCTGTATTTAATATCTGTTCACTACCGCGCATCAATAATTCGCCCTGTGTTTTAGAAACTGAGGAGGCTAGGACAAACCTAAGTGTAGAATATTTAGTTTCATAAAATAGTAGTAAAGTAAAAAAAATTACCAACAGATATTCAGGCTGGGGCGACAAACGCCATATCCAAACTACTTCCATTTAAATCCGGAATAACTTATGAAAAGGAATACAACCATTTTCAAAAATGGAACCAATTAAAAAACGTGCGAGAAGTTTTTAACCTATTTTCGCTAAAGTATCATTTAATCTACCCTTGCGGTTAAAGTACTATTTTATCTACTATTTTTAATAGATATAAGGCAATTTTAACAAATGCTGTGGAAAGAAATAAATTTTCTGTATGGAAACTGCCTATAGTATATTAACAAAATATTAGGTACGTAGTATCAGCAAAATAAAAACACTAATCTTCCACAATATACCAAAACACTTTACTTTTGCACTGGACGCAAGTTTCGCTAACCATATTAGCATCATCAGCAGATGATTAATACTAAACTAATATCTAAAAATTGAGCTTTTGTATAGGCGCTCAGTTGATACTGACTAGGCTAATCTAATTGCCTGTAATTTGAAGCTTGTTAATATAATATAATAATTAATTTTAAATTATTAATATTTATACAAAATGATCTTTATCAACAATATGTTGAGCAACGCAAGATTTATCCAGTCTATCATATCTTATCTGAGCCATAGTTTACATATAATATTTTATTTAATTAGTATTAAATACACGCTAGTGCGTGTACCCGAGACTTCGTTCGCGTCGAATTAATCATTTATAAAGGTGATGATAAAGCAAAGCAAGAATTTCCATTAACATACAAACTGGATAAAATTTTCTCACAATATGGCGATATTATTATATATAACTTGGTCATATTTGAGGGGTAGTTTCATCTCGTTGGAATTTGACTTTCGAAAAATCCGTTTGCCAAAAATAAGCTTTTTACGTCAAGCAGTTTAAGCAGAATCGCGGTTAATCAATTACCCAACTTTTTAAAATAAATTATGTTTGTCCAAGCGTTTTCCCGAAAGACTAACCGTTTTTTAAATAACAAATATTGTAATATTTGAGGGGCGTTTTCACCCTCTTGGAATTTGAGATTCGAGAAACCACTCCTTATCGAACATTAAAACATCGTTTGCCAAAAAAGCTTTAAACGTCCAGCAGTTTAAGCAGAATCGTGATTACTCAATGGTCATATTTTATTATATATATATATTAGGATCGTGATTAATCAATGACCAGATTTTTCGAAACACCATGTATACATTTTTAAAAAATCTTAAAATATGTAGAAAAACGAAATAAAATATACTTGTTTAAGCGATTTTTCGGAAACTTGACCGTTTTTTAAATAAAAAATATTGTAATATTTGAGGGCTTCTTATCGAACCTCTACACCCTAGAATCAACCTGTATGCCAAAATTGAGCTTCTTACTTTGAGTGGTTTGAGCAGGATCGTGATTAATCAGTGAGTCAGTCACTTAAGGATTTTATAAATTAGTATAGATTAGAAATTATGTAAATTATCTAGTTAAATTTTGACATGTTTGCATGAAGATCTCGTTATTTTTCCAAGTCAGATATTCATAGGAAAGTGTCAAACTAGTCTCTATAATTAGAAGCGGAATGAGATATAGAAAATTTAACTAAATTACAGTAACACTACGTTAACTGTGTTATCCTAGTTTTAGAATTCTCATAATTACAACAAGGGTAATAGGTTAGTCTGTGGTAATATACAGTGTCATTCAACGATATAGTTTTTTATCTCATTTATTTTGAGAATTAAGAAAAGATGCTAAATTGAATAGTTTATACCCACCCTGTACAGTATAGTAGTTATAGCAATAAATAATATCTCAGTTCGAAATTTACTATATCATTTTTCTGAAATTATTAAAATTCAGATACGTATTCTAAAAGTATCAGATAATTTTAATATTTTTTATTTGATATAACAATTATACAGTATAATTTCATGTAAAACAATATTATAAATGTTATATTAATTCAAGAGTTATTTTAATTCTAGAATATATACCTAACTTCTATTTCAGCTGGCTTGTTTTTCCAGGCGGCTTATTCTGTAACGAATATTCTGTTTTGTGGACTGTTGTTCGGTAAACACATACCAGTAAATTTTCCAAGGATTTTCCATTCCAATGCCCTTTGCCAGTGACACAACGAACCTGTCCAAAACTGAATTCTAAACTCGCATCCCTTTCTTCTTTATATTTATCCTAAAAATCCGGTTACGTTGTGCGATATTCATTGTTTCAGTAAAAATACCGATGCAAAACTAAGTTAAAATGTCATATTTGATATTTTTTTATTAGAAAGTATGTTAATTTGAGGATTATTTCATTCGGCCATATTATTTTTGTGCAGTTGTGAGAATATCTTCATTAAATTATAAAACTATTAGCTGACCCAACCCCGAGATGAATCCAAAAAATAAGATATCATTACAATCGGTCCAGTAGTTCTTAAATTAGGCTTCTTTCTACTTTCGTTTAGCCGAAATCTGTTATATAAAAAATGACTTTATATATGCGTTCTAGAAGGCTTTAGGAGTACAAATATACAAAAATTTTCCTGCGGAAATGCGCCATTTTTATTTTTCGGACTTTAGTATAGCCGAAATCTGTTACATCAAAACTAGTCATCGGGGTGTGTTTTAGACATTTTTCTAAACATAAAAACACAAAAAAGTGTCCGCGGAAATTTTTTATTTTTATTTTACATAAAAAAATGCTTTGACTTTAGAATAGCCGAAATCAGTTACATGAAAAATGAACTTATATTTGTTTTATACGAGCCTTTACTTCGGAACTTACTGCGGAAATGTGTCAATGTCATTTTTTGCACTTTGTTTTTCATACATTTTTCAGTTTATAAGCTTACGGGACCCGTGAAGGAATAGGGGTGCAGGGTGGGGTAAAACATCTTTTGGAGGAATAACAATTCTTGTAGAATAGATAATATAGGTTCTTGAAATAACAAAGTTTTTATGTAAAATAAATCCTTAAAATAAATAACTAATTTTTGGTATCCCTGTATAAATTTAAGAAAGCAATAATATTTTTCAGTAAAGTTTATTTCTTTACCTTTAAACTCAGCATAAGAATTAATTCTGAAAAGTAATGTACAGGGTATTGATAATCAATTCTCTTGTAGCATGCATATTTAAATATTTTTAAATATCTCAAAAACCAATGATTTTAAATATATTAAACCCTTATAATAAATGTTTTTTTTCGGGCCCAAGAATCCAAAAATGAAATAAAATACCGGGTGTTCCATAAGAAAAAATATAACTTTGGTATGGATCTTAGTTCTGAGACACCCTGTATATTTCAAAATAATTTTAAATTATGCACATTGAATCCCCACATATACCCATAAAATATTTTGTTTCTACATCTTTCCGTTTTCGTATATCCGAGGCGAATGAGTTGCGCCACCCTGTATAAAGTCAGTTTTTATATAACAGATTTCTGCTAAACGAAAGTTCACCCAATACCTTTATTTTTTAAATTAAAAATATATATATTTCCTAAAACTTTTAATCTAAAATAAAAAAAATATACACCTTTAACACTAATATTTATTATTATTTCATATTTTTATAAAACAAAATACACTAAAAATACCCACTGCTTGAATATATTACGCATTATTTATTGCAAGGGGACCAATTAATCTTTTGGCCTAAAACATCCGTCACAGTTATCCACTAATTGGATATTCTCTGCATTTGACAATTTTTGTGTTTTTTTTCGCAATTTACCCATTATTCATTACCTACTATCAACCCAGTTTTATTAATATAAAATGAAATTACTTTTAAAAATTCTCTCTTTTATATTATTATTGTCCATTTTTAGTTTTAAATAATTTATCTTAGACATTCTGTATATTTTATGTTGAAAATAAACAAGAAGATGAAAATAAAACTGATACAAAACTGGAGTTTGAAGAGCGTTTTATTTAGACAAAAAATAAATCGAGTTATCGTTGATACAAAAAGGATAAAATTATGTCGCTCTTCGTTGACCAGCGTTTGAGCTTGAAGCAATTAGAACTTGATGACTGTTACATTTTGTGACATCGGATGCTTAAAGCGTCACTCGTTGACGCTTTTACTTGAATACACGCAGAGAAATATCGTTAGGTTACATAAATAAATTATTATTTTAAGGTAATAGATTGTTTTAAGATAAACATTTTCATAAAATTAATACATTTAATTCTTTCAGAGTTATCTTTTCTGTTTAATATTTAGCGACAGTCCTGTTGCCGGAAACACTCAAAGAACTCTAGGAGATGTGAGACTTTGTTATTGGTGGGGAAACTCCTGGTCAGGCGCTAGGGAATCCCTCTGGCACTATAGCTCTTTAGCTGTCGTGGCCAGGGGAATAGTACCAAGACGTATAATGATGCCGGATGGGACTACCCACCCTGTCCGTCATACTGTCTGTGGTCGTGTATCACGGGCAGAGAGTTTGGGGATGTTGGCTTAACCGCTACCGCCTGGATTAAGAAGGGAACAATTTTACCAAAACCTGTGGCGGGACCAGGTCAAAGGGATGCGACCGGCTGGTTAGAAGACTACGTTCTACTGGTCTCAATCTTGGGTACCCGGGGCAAGCTGCCAAGTAGCATCTATCTGACTTCGAACTAAATCTGACCTGAAGCGACGTCAGACTTTGTGCAAATTTAGGTCGGGTGCTGGCGATACGACCGGTGACGTCGCTTTCCTATAAAAAGCGACGTCGTTGGATCCGAATCGGTAAATCCAACGATCTGTCGACGTACAAAATAACAACGTACCATTTTTATTAATTTCCCAACGTCGTTTCCACGTTGGCTTGCGCGACGTACATATACTTGACCTAGCCCGACGTCTACCCGTTGTCCGAATAGGATACTTCTCACTGATAATCCCTAAAGTAACGTCCAATTATATTTTGTTGTATTTTATGTTTATATTTATAACCTAATTTACGTATCTCTATTTACGTCCGTAAATACAACCCATTACTATAAGTAGCATTTGCGGCCTAATGGACATCATGAACATAACCTAATAAAAAGTTTTTGTAAACAAACTTAATTTTTTTTTTATTATGCCTAAAAAAACACTAAAAAGGCTTTTAGACATTCATCTACATTTTACAGAGAGAGGTCGAGGCGTAGTGATATCTTGCCTTCACCCACAAATGTTTTTTATCCGGAAGAGATGCTGTATTACACTGGTGCATCTTAATTTCATTTTTAAGCTTAGGAAACCAGCAGACTCCATCCTCCTCCCACATGTGAGGTACTGGTTCCAATTCTTTTAAATTTTATATATATACTATCTTAAAAATGTGGCTGTCCCTTTTTAAGGAGAAAACAAAAACTAAAATATAGTTGCACAAATCCACAAATCACTGATACGCAAAGTGAGGTTACGTGGCGTACGTTGGAATTATATACGTCATAATACGATTGCCGGTCGTCCGGTTTGATGACTTCGGTCGTGTGAGACGACTAATATTGGAGACCCGATCGGAATTGGTATATTGGTAGTTCATATTAAGTCGGACACAGAAATCCGCCATTCTTAACACGTATCCGATTGTCAGCCATTTTAAAATCGTTTTTGTTTTTAAAATTTATATTCACATTTCGATTTCTAGTAGAATAATATTGATAAGGTTGAGTTTGGGAGGAACGACAGTACAGTTTTATGATTAAACCAGCTAGAAAATTAAAAAAATATTTTGCGAGTAACTTTTTTATAGCTATTTTTAATTTCATAAATCTACCTAATTTTGAAGGCGCTCGTTGTTTTCCGGAGCATTTTAATCAGATATATCAAAAAAGTGACTTCCGTTGACAAAACTGATGTCTGGATTAATGATTCAGAATTATTATAATATGAAATTAGGTAGGCACTTATAGTTATATTCGAGGAGTTATTATGAGTCCATTTGTATTGGTTGTATAGGTAGTTTGGTTAGGTTTTTATGTATTCTTGGTAGCGAATATGAAACCAAAAGTAACGTAAGTGCTTAGCGACGAATTTTAAGTAACTAAAATCCAAAGTAATATGACGTTGGTAATTGCATTGGTAAAATTACATTCCCTATTAGGTCAGATACCGACGTCGAGGCGACCCGAATCTGTATTCCCCATTTAGGTGCAAATAAGGGTCGTCAGGCGGTCGAACCGACATTGGTACTCGACGTCGGGTTTATTGAACGCCGTACGTAAAATACCTTTACGTACGGAGTGTGGGACTCAATCTCTCCTTAAGCTGCCTGGAGGACACTACCCACTAAACGTCACCCCCTCGCTCCTGCCACGTCTACCTGGACCCGCTGGACGTATCTCCTCAAGTAGACGCCGGTCTGTTCCTTTTTTGTCATTACCCCTGCTCTTCGCTGTATTTTGCCTCCAGTATATTTTGGGCCAGTTTTGAGATGGCTTCAAAGTTTTCTCTTCTTTTTGTTACCGATTTTAAGAAGGTATCTGCGGAGATGTTGCCACCAATCGTCATGCGTGCCTCACATCTTTCCTGTTTCTATCTTGGACAAGCAAACATTTTGTGTTCTCATGTTCAAATGCTACTTGGGTGTTGCCGTCCACACTTTATTCATACTAAGCATTAGCAGTTCTTTTGTGATTTTAGAATTAGGTCCTTGGATGCCTTTCTATCCCTGTGATCCTGTCTGTTACTCCAGTGAATATTCTGCTTTTTCCTGATCCAGAGATTTACTATATTATTGTTGTACTGTATTTACTAATTATATTTTTTTGTTGCTTTATATGCCCCTATGACCCGGCGCGGCACCTAGATTAATTCTATTCCTCCCGGCCAGTGTTTCCAATTCACCCAGGCATTCAATTTGTTTACGAGTATACAGGGTCCCGCATTAGTGCGTGGGGCATCTGTAGTACAAAAAAACCTGAGAATTTTGTTTAAGTACAAATTTAAAGTATGTACAAGGATATATTGCAGGAAAATATTTTAACTTCTATAGGATGGCTCAAAAAAGTGTTTGTGGATCGGGATGATTTTTTTAAAAGGAACACCCTATATATCATTGCATTTTTGGCTTCCTTACAGATCACTTTACATAATCATAAGATATGAGTAAGTATATTTCGATAGCTTCAGAGATATTAATAAATAAATAAAATATACAGGGTGTCCCAGAAACAAGTGTAAGTATTTTAAGGGGTGGTAGATCTCGATAAAAGAAACATATTTTCTCTTTACCGTTTTTCAAATAAGTCCAAAATAACGGAGTTATTTTACTTTGAAAATTTGCAAAAAAATGTTTTTTGCCAAAATTTTGAGAACCGCTGGATCTTTTCTGGATTTTCTTTCTTGTAAATTTAATCTAATACCTATGTTGCCATATTATGAAGAAATTATGTTTTTTAACTAAAAACTAAAAAAAAAATTCCAAATTTTTTTTCAAAAAACTGTAAAATTTTCAAATTTTTCTTCGCAAAAAAACCTCTTAGGCGTGTTTCTGAGGTTGAACTATACTACCAGTTAAAATACTTGCACTTATTTCTGGGACACCCCGTATATATTTTTTAACCTTCCTTAAAAAAATATTATAAATACAAGAAGTCCTGAAATCAAAACTATATTAGGTATTCACTTTAGATGATCTATACTTATTTTGCTATAAATATCGTAATCTTAAATCATACAGGGTGTTCAAAATTCTACGCCAAACTTTCTTAAATATAAAATATATATATATTTTTTAATGGAACACCCTGTATATTATCTTTTTTATCAGATGTGGAGTTAAAAAATTAACATTTTTTGTATTTAAAGTATTTCAAAATGTTTAATGGTTTCGCAGATACACGCAGTATTATTTCATATGGCTCTTTCAGCGGTAAAATACGAGAGAAAAAACATTGGGTGGCTTTGATAAAAATTGTCTGTGGAAAATGCCATATGAAATATAAAACCGCGAATATCTGCGAAACCGTTAAAAATTTTGAAATACTCTGAATACAAGAAATATTTATTAGTATTTTAATAAAGCACGCTTTTAGATGTTTCAAAAAACTTTTAATAAGAGTAACTTTAACTCAACATATATGTTTCGGCTTGTTAGGCCTTTTTCAAGAGTTTTTTAAGAACTGAATTTTAAGAACTGAAAGTTCTTAAAAAACTCTTGAAAAAGGCCTAACAAGCCGAAACATATATGTTGAGTTAAAGTTACTCTTATTAAAAGTTTTTTGAAACATCTAAAAGCGTGCTTTATTAAAATACTAATATTTCAACGATGTTTCACAAGGAACCAACCACAGCTTCAGTACAAGAAATATTTATTTTTTAATTTCCAATCTATAGAAAGAATAATACACAGGATGTTCCATTTATAAAAACAAAGAATAATTATTTTATATTTTAGAAAGTTTGGCGTAGAATTCTCAACATCCTGTGTGATTTACGATTATCATATTTGTAGCAAGGTAAACTCAGACCATCTAAAGTAAATAACTAATATAGTTTTGATTTCAGAACAGTTCTTGTATTTTTAATACTTTTTTTAAGAAAATGTCAAAATATATTTACTCATATTTTTGGATTATGTAAAGTGATCTGAAAGAAAGCCAAAAATGTAATAATACACAGGGTGTTTTATTTTAAAAAAATCATTCTAATCCACTCATACTTTTTTGAGCCACCCTATAGCAGTTAAAAATATTTTCCTGAAATACATCCTAGTATATTCTTCAGGTTTGCACTTAAACGAAATTCATAAGTTTTTTATTCTAGCAGCTACAGATGCCCGACGCACTATTGCCGGAACCTGTATAAATCCATTGTTTCTGTTTGGGTTCTAACACAGTAGTATTTTACAAAAAATAACTAACTTATATTTTTTTATTTCCGTGAAAATATACCCAAGCTGTTATCACAGCTTAGGTATCCTATAAGTATACAGATAAAAATCTTGTCCCTAATTCGTGGTACGAAAATTGTTTTTTATGACGATGTGCAAACGAGTCAAATTTCCTGTGCGCAAAAATAAACTCGCATAAAATAACAATAAACAGCATAATAGAGAGATATCGCTAAACCGAATAGCGTGCATGGACGTTAATAAGGCCAGGTGTTATTTCCTTTACGTGAGGTGGTATTAACTCTCTTCATTTATAGTTATCAGATCGGAAAGAATTCTGATCGCGTTGCGTCTGCTATTTAAACTTAACCTAACTTTGAATTTAAAACTTTGAAATTGTTTTGTGTACTAGGTATTTTAAAACTAAAGGGCTAAAGTGCTTATTTCCAGTGCTTTATTGTTCAACGTCTGCCAGTGGGTTTAGGGCAACAAGCAACAAATTCTCTTAGAAGGGCCAAGTCGTCATCTGCTGTAAACCTAAGCCTCTTTATAGGTTCTTTA